ATCATTCTAAAAATAAAAAAAACACATTTTTCCATTCTAACATAATAGAGTATCATATAGGTCTTGATTTATGTATATATTTATGGGTACATTATGCAGCTTGCATCCTCTCCTCCCCCCCTTTGGGTTCCCAGGGGGTACTGCTCCTCTCCTCCTTTTTCTCCTCTCTCCCCCCCTCCCCGTTGCACTTACAGTATGATGCTGTATTATATCCCCGGGCAGGAAGGTGTTAAGCTCCCGCCCGTGAGCAGACCTCGTTGTGACTGGACGTCATATGACGTCCTGTCAAAAGCTGCCGCTCACGCAGCCACCATCTGTCCACGGGACACAGCCGCTGACATATCACCACACCGGCCCATTGCCAGTGTCATGTGACCGCTGTGACCAATCACAGCAGATCACATGTCAATTTTATACAATGGATGGCTTCCTGGCATGACATTCATTGTATACAATTGTGGTGTTAGCTGTGATTGATCAAAGCAGTCACATGGTACCGACAGAGCCAATCACAGCCCATCTGTATCATGTGGTGAGCTTTGTCCAATCACAGCTAATCCCAACAAAAGACTGAACGAATCAGTTTCATTTAGTAACAATGATTGCAAATATCAATGAAATACATTGGTATTCGCAATCATAATGTGTAAAAAGAAAAAAAAAAATCCTGATCACTTGCCCAGAGTAGTTCAATGTTACTATGGTAACATTGTATTGCTTGGTGGTCACAGTGTGTTGAAAAAAAAAAATAGTAAAAAAAAGAAAAAATACAAACAAATAGAAAAATTTGAAAAAAATATAAATTAAATTATTTTTATTTCTGTCTTTTTACATACTGTCACCAGTCAGTGTCCCTGATCACCGCCACTCCAGTTATATAATGACGCTGTACTGGACTGATGACAATATGTAAAAAAAAAAAACTTTTTTACAAATTGTGATTGATTTTTTTTTTTTTTTTTTTTTTAATTTTTTACATTTTCCAAAAAATTACAACCTCCAAAAAACTCACCATGCTTCTTACTAAATACCTTGGACTATTTTCCAAAAATGGGTAATTTGGGGGGTATTTGTACTATGCTAGCGTTTTCTGGCCTCAAGAAATGAGATTGGCCGCCAGTACATTGATCGATTGTCAGATATTTATACCGTAGTTTGTGGACTCTTTAACTTTTCTACAGACTAAATAATATACACTAATTTGGGGTATTTTCACCAAAGAAATGTAGCAGAAAACATTTTGACCACCATTTTTTTTTTATGATGAAATGTTATTTGCAACATTTTATAACAAAAACGAAGAAAAATGAGGTTTATTTTCAAAAGTTTCAGGGTTTTTTTTTTTTTTTTTTTTTTTTTTTTTATTTAGCAAAAAATAAAAAAAACTCAGTGGTGATTAAATGCCACCAAAAGAAAGCTCTATTTGTGTGAAAAAAAATATTTTTTTTATGGGTACAGGGTTGCATGATTATAATTTTTATTATTTTCACCAAAGAAATGTAGTAAAATACATTTTCATCTAAATTTATGAAGAAATGTTATTTGCAAAATTTTGTAACCGAAACAAAGAAAAGTGCTTTAATTGTGTGAAAAAAATTATAACCATTTCATATGGGTACAGTGTTGCATGATCGCGCAATTGCCATTAATAGTGTGACAGCGCTGAAAGCTGAAAATTGGCCTGGACTGGAAGGGGGTAAAAGTGCCCGGTACTGAAGTGGTTAAAACCTCATTTTGAGAAGGAGTTGTTACGCTTTGCCGCAGTGCATGCAGTGATGTAGCGCAGTGATGGTGGGGGATCACGCTTGTATATGCACCACTTTACCGTTTCCTATGTGGGTGGAGTTCTTTTTTTAAATTGCTCTTTCTGTGACTTGTAGAAAATGTATGTCTGTGTTGTCTGATCACTGAAGTCTTCTATCGCATTTTCCTTCCTTTTTAATTTGCAGTTTTGATCTTTCTTGTAAATGGAATATATCTGTTGCATGTTTTGTCTTCCATATGAATGAATTACCTCCAACCTTCTCCGGTGTCCAGAGATTTCAGTACATGTCATAAATACAAAGCAAGTAGTCCAATCAGAAAGTCTGACTTTCCAAGTTGCATGCTTGTTGAGGCTCAATAAAAAGTATTAGTCTGGAGATAGTCCTTCCGCTTTCCTCCCTTTTTTTTTTTTTTTTTTTTTTTTTTTTTCTTTTAAGGAGTTCAGCAAGAGCAGCACCCATATTTAGGAGGGGTAAGTATTCCTTTTCTCCACAGATACAAGCTTGGTTGAGCCTTTTTTATTATGTGACAGGGTCACTTTAAGCATCAGCTGGTTTTTTGTTTGCATTCCCAAATTTATGGGCATCCAAAACCTTCTCTATGCAGGTCCGCTGCAGGTAAAGCGGGTACAATAAGTATTGAACACGTCACCATTTTTCTCAGTAAATCTGTTTCTAAAGGTCCCTGTTGACATGAAATCGTGCAACAACCCATGCAATACAAAGAAACCAAAACAAACAAGTTCAGAGTTTAAATTGTGTAATAAAATGGAAGGACAGAGGAAAAAGTATTGAACACATTAACTGAAATGTATTTAATATTTGGTACAAAATCCTTTGTTGGTAATGATGGCTTCAAGATGCCTCCTGTATGGAGATACTAGCGGCATGCGTCGCTCAGATGTGATTTTGGCCCGTTCTTCCACACAGTCTTCAAATCTTGATGGTTCCGTGGGCCTCTTCTATGAACTCCGATCTTTAGTTCTTTCCATAGATTTTCTGTTGGACTCAAGTCAGGTGATTGGCTGGGCCATTCTAGCAGCTTTATTTTCTTTCTTTGAAACCGGTTGAGAGTTTCCTTGACTTTGTGTTTGGGATCATTGGGAGTATTTTTAAAATATATTTCAAATTTATTTTTCTTCCATATGGGTGGCTTTCATTAGTTACTGTTTTTAAATCTGCTAGTACAAGGTTCCTCAACTAGGGTTCCTCCCAGAGATTTTTTGGGGGGTTTCAATTTCTTTCTCCAATAATTTCCGACTGACACAATTGATCTTTTTCGCTAACCATGGGGGGGTTCTTCCCAGTGACCACAAGTGTAAGGAGCATTCTTCCCACCACCCATCACACTGATGTATCAGGAGTTCTATATATAGTAATTTTTAGCAGGGGTTCCCTGAGACTGGAAAATTTATTTCGAAGGTTCCTCTTGTAAAGGTTGAGAGAGGCTGTGCTAAGTACATCTAACACTCCCATCCCCCCTAAGACTGACATTGCTGCTGCCTGCTGTGCCTCCTGTGCTCATTTCCCCAGTGGTGCCTCACTAATACAGGTGTGTTACTGGCCAAATATCCAGGTAAAAACAGAGGGGGGGGGGAAGCCACTACATCTGATTGGTAAGCTGCAATATATTACATTTTTGGTTGTAGGTTTAATACCACTTCTACATCTGTCATAAGGGAGAAGCAGAGGGTGCCATTGCCGACCACATTTAACCACTTCCAGTCCGGACACTTTCCCCTCCTTCCTGTCCGGACACTTTCCCCTCCTTCCAGTCCGGACACTTTCCCCCCCCTTCCAGTCCAGGCACTTTCCCCCCCCTTCCAGTCCGGGCACTTTCCCCCCCCTTCCAGTCCGGGCACTTTCCCCCCCCTTCCAGTCCGGGCACTTCCCCCCCCCTTCCAGTCCGGGCACTTTCCCCCCCCTTCCAGTCCGGGCACTTTCCCCCCCCTTCCAGTCCGGGCACTTCCCCCCCCCCTTCCAGTCCGGGCACTTTCCCCCCCCCCTTCCAGTCCGGGCACTTTCCCCCCCTTCCAGTCCGGACACTTTTTCCCCCCCTTCCTGTCCAGGCCAATTTTCAGCTTTCAGCGCTATCACACTTTGAATGACAATTGTGCGGTCATGCAACACTGTACCCATATGAATTTTTTAGCATTTTTTGAGACTGATAAAGCATTATTTTGGTGTTTTTCATTTACATGGCAAAAAAAATAAAAATCCCAGTGGTAAATAAGTCCAAATTTTTTTTTTAAAAAAAAGTGTTTTTCTTTATAAAATTTTGCAAATAAATAATATTTCATCATACATCTTGGCCAAAATTTATTCCATTATCTTTTTAGTAAAAAAAAAACCCCAAATTCGTTTACAACCAAAAATTATAATTTATAAACATTTTTTTTACATTTTATTTTTTTATATATATTTTTATTTTTTTAAATATACGGTCACCCTAGCAGTACAGTGTCACCATGGTAACACTGTACTGCTTGTGGGGGTGATGAAGATTTTTTTTTTTTTTTTTTTTTTTACACCCATAAAGTCTGTAAAAGCAATCATTTCTCCTTCTCTCTGGCTGCATTCTTGCAGCCATTGAGAACTACTGTGTGAGCTGTGATTGCTCACAGCTTGTCACATGGTACAAGCCCTGTACCATGTGACCTCTGTGATCATTCACAGATTTCACACGTAGTCAGCAATGATGTCAGGAGTGACATCTTGCCTACTACTCTGCATGTGATCACTGATTGGCCAATCAGTGATCACATGATCAGGACCTCACACAGAGATCACGTCCGATCGGTGTTCCACTGTGTCCGGAGGACACAGCGGGCACCGGATCGCGGTTCTGCGTGCTCCCAGGGAGCGCGCACAAGCAGGGGACGGGGAGGATGTTTATAAACAGCCACCCAACCCTGCACTGCCACCATCCGGCTGTTTATATACATGGGCCGGACTGGAAGTGGTTAAACGTTTGCTTTCCTGGCCACTGACTTCCATACATACCGCAGCAAGTATTCCCATTGGGAAAGTCCAACAAAATTCAGAAGTGCCCATCTACATAGTACAGCAACCAGGCACATGGCATTTTCAGGAGACACCAGCAATGGCAGCCTCTTTGGTCAGGTTTTCTCTTTAGTGATTGATACAACGATGGGATGTGATCGCAGAAAGCCAGGCACAGCCACGTTCAATAGAGGGGAATGCCCTTTTATTTGATGCCTCCGTTTTTCTCTGCAGACCCCGTGGAATCCATCGGTGGACCTGTGGTGGCACGACCTGGTGAAGAATGCCGGCACGGAGTGTGAGCCAGAGTGGTGCGACGCAGAAGATGAGCTGTTTGTTCTGTACACCAGCGGATCCACCGGGAAGCCCAAGGTGAGACGTACACCAGTGTGCCGGAATTCTGAAAATAGACACGAGGCCACGCTTTTCCTTCCTACTTTGGAGAATTATCCATGACAGTCCCTATGGTATAAAGGGTGGAGCATTGGATATATATCAGTCTAGTGTAGATTGCTTTTTGACAATAATTGCCCCGATGAAGTGGGATTTTCAAAACCTTTGATACATGTTGGCTTTGACTGAATTTCATAGTTAGTCTGGTGGAAAAATGACAAATTCCATCCAGTTCAACCATAGAAAAAAAAAGTTCTAATCCTACACCCACAGTTAATCCAGAGGAAGGCAAAAAAACACAGCAAAGCATGATCCAATTTGTGCCCTTTAACCCCTCACCCTCAAGAAGACTTACCCCCCCCCCCTTCCTGACCAGTGGTGCGAAACTTTAACTGACAATTGCGCGGTGATGCAATGCTGCATCCAAATGAAATTTACAGCCTTTTTTTTACTTGTAATGGTGGTGATCAGCAACTTTATAGCAGGACTGCTGGACTGCGGCGGGCATTCTGACACTGGGGGGGGACTGGCTTGGTGTCACTGACATCCCCAGTGACACCTCCTCCTCACTCCTCCTCCCTCCTCCTCTTCTCCTTCTTCGTCACGGCTCCTGCGCAGATTTTTTATCGGTAAAATGATCGGCCGATTTGCCCATTATTGCCGGGAAAATCGGCTGATCGTCAAAATTGGCTGCAAATTTTACAACTTGACCAATTTAAAAAAATGTGCAAAAAACGGCCAACCAATTAACCCACTAACTGCGCAAATCGGCCGATTTTTTTTTTTTTTTTTTTTTTTTTTTTTCCCGGCTTAAAAATCGGCCGATTTTCGACCCATCTATGGCTGGCATTAGTTGAAGAAGTAAACTTTTGAAGGTCAGAAAACCCCACCCCAACGCACCTCTGTACTGTTCACTTCTTTTCATTGTTTAGCAGGTAACACCCCGTTTTGTCTATTACAGGGGGTCGTGCACACCGTTGGCGGTTACATGGTCTTCACCGCCACCACCTTCAAGTATGTGTTCGATTATCACCAAGGTGACATATATTGGTGCACAGCTGACATTGGATGGATCACTGGACACTCCTACCTCACCTACGGACCACTAGCCAATGGGGCAACCAGTGTATTGGTATGTTACTGGTCAAAGGGGTAGATCTGGCTGCTATGGGCAATATTGACCTTTCTTATGTGAGACGCTGTAAAGGAAACCTGTTCTGAGAAAAAGAAAATAAGCCATTGCTAAAAATGCTAGTTGTCTGGCTGCTGTGCTTTTTTTCCCTGGCTTCATTTCTTCCAACCATTAACCCAGGACAGGTATGCAAATCAGGATTATTCACTTTACTTGTTCTTGGCAGGGACTGAGAAGACATTACAGCCAGAGAATTGGCATGATAGCCAGGAAACTAGCTTTTTCCAAAGAGTAGTGATGGCAGATAATATTTTTTCACATGGCAGGAGTCCATTTATTATTGTGACCTTTTATCACGGCTAATACAACAACATCCTTTTGTACATTAGGACTCGGGTCTGTTTTTCCTATAGCAAACGATCAAAGTGCTGTATGGGAAAATGAAGGGAGAATCTGATTGCTGTTAAAGGGTTTAGGGTTCCGTATATGGGAAAAAAATATTCTGAACCAATGGACTGCGGACACAGTACAGGAGATGACCACTGCGGACAAGTAAGGAGATGATATGCGGAACAGTACAGGAGATGACCAGGACTGCAGACACAGTACAGGAGATGACCAGAGACGGCGGACACGGTACAGGAGATGACCAGAGACTGCGGACACAGTACAGGAGATGACCAGAGACTGCGGACACAGTACAGGAGATGACCGGACTGCGGACACAGTAGAGGAGATGACCGGAGACTGCGGATACAGTTAGAGGAGTGACCAGAGACTGGACACAGTAGAGGAGATGACCAGAGACTGCGGACACAGTAGAGGAGATACCAGAGACTGCGGACACAGTAGAGGAGATGACCGGAGACTGCGGACACAGTAGAGGAGATGACCAGAGACTGCGGACACAGTAGAGGAGATGACCAGAGACTGCGGACACAGTACAGAGATGACCAGAGACTGCGGACACAGTACAGGAGATGACCAGAGACTGCGGACACGGTACAGGAGATGACCGAAGAGACTGCGGACACGATACAGGAGATGACCGGAGACTGCAGACCTTTGGGGAGTGGAAAGGGGCTGGGAGCAGGTACCCGAATTTGACAGGTACCTGCTCCCACTTCTGCGGAGTTGTCCTCCCTCCCCGACTTAAAAAACACGTGACAGGTGCCAGAAGACTGCCTAACCATTCACAAAGTGCAGCCTGTTCAGCATGCTCAGTGGGCACCGGCTTTGAAGCCGCAAGCTGTCACAGCCGGGTGCCCACACTAAAGATGCCGGCGCCAGGGAGAGAAGACGTTGAGGACAGCGCTGGACCGAGGAGCAGGTTCTGCTGCACAGAAGAGCCGAGCGGCCCGGTATTCTAACACGGCAGCGGGAATACCAACAGGCTGCTCCATATTCACTCCATAATACGCACACACATTTTCCCCTATTTATTTTTTTTTGGGGGGGGGGGGAGTGCGTCCTATGGAGAGAAAGTCTGGTATGTATTTTCTATTGGTTAAGTAGATGGATTTGTGTCTTTGTGTGTTACGATCAGTCCATTAGGGATGGGCTCAGGTGTGTCCGGGTCCTAGTCCTAACCAACCCAAAATATTCCACCAGGAAGCTGTCACTGCAGAACGCCAATCATAAGTGGCCAAGGGGATTCCAGTCCCACAGCTGCACATATGCAAGGGGCATGTATTTGTGGGGGGGGGGGGGGGGGGGGGGGTAAATGCCTTGGCTGCTTTTGATTGGCTTTCTGCAATGACCGCTTCCTGGCATACTAGCTCGGGTTGGTTAGGACCAGGATCTGGACACGCCTGAGCCCATCCCTGCTGTCCATGAGATCCTTGGTTATGTTACCTATGACTCTGTAGCCGCTTCTCTTACCAGATTTCTCACTAGTTTATCCATTCTTGGTCCAGTTTGAAGGCCTCCCTATATATCCAGACATTTCCCGGATGTGGCAGATCATCGATAAGTACAGCGTGAGCAAATTCTACACCGCACCGACGGCAATCCGGCTGCTGATGAAGTACGGAGAGGAGCCAGTCAAACGGTAAACTGCTGGAGGTTGTTCTGGTCCCTGATGGGTTCACAGGCTTCTCACTACAAAGAACCTTTTTGCTGTTTCTCCATATACTAAACTAATACAAAGGCTTCTGTAATATACAGATAGGAGCCTCTCCAGTGTGCTTCTATGTACATACATGCTGAGTTTGAGAGCAATCTCTAAAGTAAATTTAGGTTGGGGTTGCTAAGTTTTTTTTTTTTTTTTTTTTTTTTTTTTTTTTGGGGGGGGGGGGTTGTGGGTGGTTTTTTTTGTGTTTTTTTTTTCTTGTGGGGGTTTTTTTTGTTTTTTAATTTTTTACATTTTTATTTTATTATATTATTATTTGTTTGTTTTTTTAACATACTGTCACCCTACCTTGTGGGAGGTGATGATTTTTTTTTTTTTTTTTTTCTTCTTACACACTGATTGCTATTACACCCATAAAGGCTGCAAAAGCAATCATTTCTGCTTCTCTATGGCTGCATTCTTGCAGCCATTGAGAAATACTGTGAGAGTTGTGATTGGTCACAGCTTGTCATATGGTACAAGGCTGTTGTGAATAGCCTTGTACCATGTGACCTTTGATCATTCACAGATTTCACACGTAGTAAGCAATGATATCAGAAGTGACATCTTTCTTACTCCTATTCATGTGATCACTGATTGGCCAATCAGTGATCACATAATCGGGACCTCACACAGAGGTCCTGCACAACGATCGGTGTTCCCAGGGAGCGTGCAGAATCCAAAATGGCAGGCGCCGTTTATGAATGGAAACCCGCCCCTGCACTGCCACTGTCCGGCCATTTATATACAGCGGCCGGACAGGAAGTGGTTAAGAGTGTTTTTCTTTTATTTGCTTTTATCTTCTGGCTCCAAGAATTCATTTTTATTTTTATGACTCTTGGCAGGTATAGCAGGAAGTCTCTGAAGGTTTTAGGAACAGTCGGGGAGCCAATTAACCCTGAAGCATGGCTTTGGTATTACAACGTCGTTGGAGACAAGAGGTGCCCGATTGTGGATACATTTTGGCAGACGGAGACGGTAAGAAGCCGGGTTCAGTAGGAAGGTTTTAGCTGTGGAATGGATCAGGAGTAGTATTTGATCACAAGTATCTGATCCCTTCGGGATTAATATAGTATTTTGAATCTGAGTATCTGAGAGTATTACCGTATATACTCGAGTATAAGCCGAGTTTTTCAGCACATTTTTTGTGCTGAAAAACGGCCCCCTCGGCTTATACTCGAGTCAACATCTGCAGATAGTGGGGCGCGCCCCCCAGGGGGGGCACGAGGCTCCGTCAAGGGGGGCGCGTACAGGGGTGGGCAGAGGGCTGCTGTCTCTTACCTGGCTCCCACGATGATCCATCCAGGAAGCGCTGCTCCTTCCGTCACTCCGGCCACTCCCTCACTCCTGCCGCTCGGCTCCGCCTCCTCACCGGTGATTGGCTGCCAGAACTGTAGCTCAGGAAAGGTACACAGGCGGCCAATCACGGGCGAGGAGGCGGAGCCGAGTGGACCCGCGAAAATCGAGTGAGGGAAAAGCCGGTAAGTGTGCAGTGTAGAGGTGCTGCTGCAACCACATATGCTGGCTGCAGCAGTACCATACTGCAACAGGGGTCAGCAAGTGTCATTGGTGTCAGTGGGAGGAATAGTGCCGCATCATTGGTGTCACTGATACTAATGATGGGGCATTATTCCTCCCACTGACACCAACGATGGGGCACTATTCCTCCCACTGACACCAATGATGGGGCACTATTCCTCCCAGTGATACCAATGATGGGGCACTATTCCTCCCACTGATACCAATGATGGGGCACTATTCCTCCCATTGACACCAATGATGGGGCACTATTCCTCCCACTGACACCAACGATGGGGCACTATTCCTACCACGGACACTAATGATGGGGCATTATTCCTCCCACTGACACCAACGATGGGGCACTATTCCTCCCACTGATACCAATGATGGGGCACTATTCCTCCCACTGATACCAATGATGGGACTACTATTCCTCCCACACACCCTGGGGCTTATCCTCGACTCAATGATGGGGCACTATTCCTCCCCACTGACACCAATGATGGGGGCACTATTCCTCCCACTGCACCAATGATGGGGCACTATTCCTCCCACTGACACCAATGATGGGGCACTATTCATCCCACTGATACAATGATGGGGCACTATTCCTCCCACTGACACCTTGGGGCACTATTCCTCCCACTGACACCAATTTTTTACATTGACTAGTAGGTGCCTCATTTCCCACCCTCGGCTTATACTCGAGTCAATAGTTTTTCCCAGTTTTTTGTGGTAAAATAAGGTACATCGACTTATATTTCGGGTCGGCTTATACTCGAGTATATACGGTACCTTGTGCCTTATAAACTTGGTTTGATTTACAGAATATTTAGACATCCTAATTTACTCCTAGTTCTCCTCCTTTTTTTTTTTTTTTTTTTTTTTTTTTTTTTTTTTGGCACAATTATTACTACATTCTTAAAGCGGAGCTCCAACCAAAAGGGAACCTTCCACTTCAAGGACTGGTCCCCCACTCCCCATGAGGAATTATCACCTTTGGGGAGCAGGTACTTTATTTTGACAGGTACCCGCTCCCATTTCCGCTGCAACCTCCAAGGCCAGTGGTCTCCATACTTTCTAGACCAGTGTTTCTCAACCTTTTTTTCAATTAAGGCACCCTTTAAAATTATGGACAGTCCTGAGGCACCCCATTTTGGAATCCGTGTATGGGATAGGACAGGATGACCCATATTGAGTATTTTCTAAGTTGGGTTTATTTGTCTATTTTCGACAGGGAGGTCACGTATTAACTCCGATTCCGGGGGCCACGGTAGCAAAGCCTGGTTCAGCTGTAAGTATTACCTTCAAGTTCAAATGTGGTTCAGTCAGTCACTTCAAAATCAAATCGCATTAATACTTTGAGTAAGAACATGTCTCTTTGTTTCCATGAATTTAAAAAATGCCCCTTCATGTGACCTAAAGACTAGACGGCCTATATCACATGATCTCTGACAACTAGGAAAATTATGGGTGTCTCAAGTGTTGTCAACTAAACAGACCCTCTCTGGACTTTGTGTGAGAATATGTCATGAGTAAATATGGCTGCTCCGATGGACATTACATGGACACACATCCAGAAGAATGTGTTCACATAAAGCTAATCTCTCTTTTATATATATATATATATATATATATATATATATATATATATATATATATATATATAATATAAATTTTTCTTTTTTTTTTTAAATAAAATTTATAGCTATATATAAATAAAAAAATGTGTGTGTGTGTATATATATATATTTTTTTTTTGTGTAAATATATATTTCAATTAAAAAAAAAAAAAAAAAAAAAATATATATATATATATATATATATATATATATACATTTTTATATTTATATATAGCTAAAAAAAATTATTTAAAAAAAAAAAAAAAAAAATGTATATATATATATATATATATATATATATATATACATACACACACACACACACAGTAAAGAATCCCCACCCCTGCTTTAGAATTACATTTTGTTGCTTTTTGCAGCCTGAAATAAAAACAGACACATTGTTTGTTTTATCCCGCTGTATTTAGTATGTATGTCCAGCTTATAACATCCAAGGATAACATCATGTCAGAAAAAAATTTTGAAAATTCAAAAAAACAATCACCCCCCCCCCTCCCCCCCCCCCCCCCCCCCCCCCCCCCCCGCCGAATATGACTTGTAAACTTGGTCATTTTGATAAGGTGAGCATGAAAAGAGCTTTCCTGGAGCATTTCAGTCCCTGGTAGTTCATCTGAAGCAAACAATCAACTATGGGTGGCAAGGCACTGTCAAAAGATCTCCGGGACAAAATTGTGGACAGGCACAAGTCAGGGGATGGATACAAAAAAAATTTCAAAGGCTTTCTCAATGCCTAGAAGCAGAGTGAAGTCTATGATTAAGAAGTGGAAGGTTTTTGGTACAACACAGACCCTCCCTGGATCAGGACGTCGCTCCAAACTGGATGAAAGAGCCAGGAGGGAACTGGTCAGGGAGGCTACCAAGAGGCCTAAAGAAGCTCTGAAACCGTGTCAGGAACTGATGACAAAGAGTGGTCATTGTGTGCATCTGACACCAATATCACAAATCCTCCACAAATGTGACTTGTATGGGAAGGTTGCAAGAAAAAAGCCGCTCCTCAAGAAAGGCCACATGCAGTCACCACTGAGCTTTGCCAAAACGCTCCCTGAAGATTCTGAGGCCGCATGGAAAAAGGTGTTCTGGTCAGAGGAGACTAGTGTTGAGGACAAATCATTCAATTGTAAACGATATGTCTGGCGGAAATCCAATCCAACTCACCATCCAAATCCCACCATTCCTACAGTAAGGCATGGAGGGGGAATATCCTGTTATGGGGGGTTTCTCTGCATTAGGGACTGGAGCATTTGTCAGGATAGAAGGAAACATGGATGGGGAAAAATACCGTCACATTCTGGAGGAAAATCTGCTGCCCTCTGCCAGAAAGCTGCCAATGGGAAGAAGGTTCACCTTCCAATATGACAACGAGCCAAACCACACAGCAAACATGAGCCCCCCCAGTGGTTGTAGGAGAAAAAGGGGAATGTCCTTGTCAGAGCCCAGACTTAAATCCCATTGAAAATGTAATGTAATTGTAGGAAATAAAAAAAAAAAAGTTGTTGAGGCCCTTTCACACACTAGAGAATGAGGTGTGGTGTTTTTGATAGTTTTATGTATTTCAAAGGTCTCTTTTTGTGTTGAAGACGTTCCCGTTTTTTGGCGTTGTTCCTGCCATCTTGGACGAGGCTGGCGAGGAGCTTGAAGGAGAAGCTGAAGGTTATCTGGTAAGCAGAAAGGTTCCACAAAGCAGGCACTGTTGTATCTACTAATAAAGTGCCACGGGTAGTTGATCATGTATTTTAACCACTTCATGTCTGGACACTTTCACCCCTTCCTGTCCAGGCCAATTTTCAGCGCTATCACACTTTGAATGACAATTGCGCGGTCATGCAACACTGTGCCCATATGACTTTTTTAGCATTTTTTTGAGACAGATAAAGCTTTATTTTGGTGGTATTTATTCACCACTGGGATTTTTTATTGTTTTTTACTATGTAAATGAAATTGTCCAAAAAAAAAAAAAAAGTGTTTTTTCTTATAAAATCTTGCAAATAAATAATATTTCATCATAAATCTTGGCTAAAATTTATTCCATTATCTTTTTAGTAAAAAAAAAATAACCCAAATTAGTTTATAACCAAAAATTATAATTTTTAAACTTTTTTTTTTTTTTTTTTTACATACTGTCACCCTAGCAGTACAGTGTCACCATGGTGACACTACTACTTCTGGGGGGGTGATGGAGATTTTTTTTTTCTTTTTACACTGATTGCTTTTACACCCATAAAGGCTGTAAAATCAATAATTTCTCCTTCTCTCTGGTTGCATTCTTGCAGCCATTGAGAACTACTGTGTGAGCTGTGATTGATCACAGCTTGTCACATGGTACAAGGCTGTTGTGAATAGCCCTGTACCATGTGACCTCTGTGATCATTCACAGATTTCACACGTAGTAAGCAATGATGTCAGAAGTGACATCTTGCTTACTACTCTGCATGTGATCACTGATTGGCCAATCAGTGATCACATGATCGGGACCTCACAGAGAGGTCCCGTCCGATGATCGGACACAGCGGGCACCGGATCGTGAAGCGAGCACAAACTGGGTGTGGAGGCCGTTTATAAACGGCCACCCGGCCCTGCAATGCCACCTTCCGGCCGGACGGGAGGTGGTTAACTTGGAGAGCCAGTCAAAATTAGAAGTGCGCCAGGGCAGTTATCCTTCGCCACTGGAAAACCACTTCTGTGCCCTCCCTAGTGGAATGGGTAATGAACTGGACTCTATACATGACCTTGAACGCCTGTTGGCGCAGGAATTGGAGAAAATGGATCTATTCTCTTCTATCTGGACCCCTTGGACCATGTTCCGCTACTCTTCCGAATTCCACCCGAGTTGCCGGTGGTGCTGACCCCTTTCTGGTGTAGCCATGATGGAGCGAGTATGCCATTCCTGATCCCCCTCATTCTTCTCTTCTGCGCCTTACTCGTTTTCCTTTTTTCTCTCCTTTCCTTCCTTCCCAGCATATTTTTATCAGATGATCATTTCCTCCAATACTTGTACCTCTTTTGAGTATAGTCTGGAATGTGTTCCCGCACCATGCAACCCTTTCCTCTAGGGCCGTAGAACCTGGGGCTATGGTTTTGTTTGATGTGGATACTCCCCATGTATGACCTTTGCACATGTCTGTCCTATTTCACCAATCTGACTCAATGTATCGCTTGTGTGTTATATTCATATTTTTGACTGTTGATATGCATGGATTGGTATCTTATACTCCTCCTTCCCTAAGCTGTCCTATACTCCTCCTTCCGTGAGCTGTCCTTCTACTCCTCCTTCCGTGAGCTGTCCTTATACTCCTCCTTCCGTGAGCTGTCCTTCTACTCCTCCTTCCGTGAGCTGTCCTTCTACGTGAGCCTCCTTCCTTCCGTGAGCTGTCCTTCTACTCCTCCTTCCGTGAGCTGTCCTTCTACTCCTCCTTCCGTGAGCTGTCCTTCTACTCCTCCTTCCGTGAGCTGTCCTTCTACTCCTCCTTCCGTGAGCTGTCCTTCTACTCCTCCTTCCGTAAGCTGCCCTTATACTCCTCCTTCCGTAAGCTGTCCTATACTCCTCCTTCCGTAAGCTGCCCTTGTACTCCTCCTTCCGTAAGCTGCCCTTGTACTCCTCCTTCCGTAAGCTGCCCTTGTACTCCTCCTTCCTTCCGTAAGCTGCCCTTGTACTCCTCCTTCCGTAAGCTGTCCTATACTCCTCCTTCCGTAAGCTGTCCTTCTACTCCTCCTTCTCTAAGCTGTCCTATACTCCTCCTTCTCTAAGCTGTCCTATACTCCTCCTTCGTAAGCTGTCCTATACTCCTCCTTCTCTAAGCTGTCCTTCTACTCCTCCTTCCGTAAGCTATCCTATACTCCTCCATCCGTTTTAGTGTCTGACATGTGTAAACATTACCTTTTTGGGCAGTATGACAGAGCGTGATTGGCTCATGGTGCTGACATTCCCTCTCCCAGTCCGATCTCTGGTGTGCAAGGGATTGTGGGAAGTCAACATGCAGATAAATCTGATAATTGAAGCAATATTAACAAGTACTATACTGACTGTATTTGAATACTGATGGTGTATATTTTGGTGTATATTTTATTTGTGCAGAGTTTACCTTTAATGTTCTCTTACCTGTTCCTATTAAAGGTATTTAAACAGCCCTGGCCTGCATTAATGCGCACAGTGTATGGGAACCATGAAAGATTTGAGACCACCTACTTCAAGAAATTTCCAGGATATTATGTGACCGGCGATGGTGAGTCTTTTCCATGTAGCCATTTGTGCCTCTTATGTGGGTATTTGTACTTCAGGTTTTGTCCTATGCAACACAAAACATCTCCTGCGCTTAAATGTGGCTCTTAAAAGAGAAGTAAGGTTTTTTTTTTTCTTTTTGGTCAGTTATACCTACCTAGGTGGATGCTGCATCTGTCCACCGCCGGCTCTGAGCCCGGGTTCACACATGTGCGGTGCAGTATATTGCATGTGATTCGCACAGGATCCGCACCGCATTCCTGTGCAAATCACATGCGATTTGTGTGCGGTGCGATCGGAGCCGTACATTTTGTATGGCTGTATTCGCACTGCGCCCGCACCAAAAACGTACAGGACCCTTTTTTGTGTCAGCACTAGAATCGGATCGCATGGGTATTCCCACCTATGGGATCTGATTCTTCACATCGCACCGTGTTTTGCGGACCGCTTTCGGGGAGTTGTTAATGTAACATACACACCCGCAGCGGTTCGCATGAACGGGATGTGATTCTGATGCAGTGCGGAATTCGCATTGAAAACGCTGAGAATACTGTACCGCATCAGTGTGAACCCGAGCTAAGTGTGAGAATTCAGCGATCACATGACCGCTGATCACTGAGTTCTCACAGCCGCCCACAGCAGACATTGGTGACTATCAGTCATTGCTGTCTGTTCTCCCCCCCCCCCCCCCCCCAGCTGAAAACAGGTCGCAGGAGTGCAGAGCGAACTTTGGCTGTACTTCTTTAATATGTAAGGCACTCATTCCTTGTTCCAATCTTGACTCAAATGGAAATGCCCGGCTTTGCTGCCCTCTCAAGTCTGGGGTAGTCAGGACAAACTGCAATCATACACAAACAGAGGGCACACCAGCCCAGTTCATTATCCTTAGCCTTTATTATTAAAAATCAGAAAATGTAGAGAGATATATAGAGAGATAGATATATATAGAGAGAGAGAGAGAGAGACCGCCATTTGTTGACGCTATAACTTTCATGTAAACCAATTAATTTACACGTATTGGGATTATTATTTTTTTTTTTTAGCAAAGACATGGAGCAGAATACATTTTGGCCTAAATTTATTTAGAAATTTTGATTTTTTTAAGTTTTTTTACTTGACATGTTTAATAGCAAAATGTCAAAAATCTTGGTTTATTTTCTAAAAAAAAATTTTTTTTGTGCAAAAAAAAAAACCTGCACAGACGAAACAAATACCACCGAAAGAAAGCTCAATTCAGAGGGAAGGGGGGACGGTGGGGTTAAGGATGTAAATTTCATTTGGGTGCAGCGTTGCATGACCGCGCAATTTTCAGTTAAAGTAACGTAGTGCCATAACGCAAAAAATGGCCTGGTCAGGAAGGGGGGGGGGGGGGGGAAATCTTCTGGAGGGCGAGGGGTTAACTGGCATTTTTTTTTTTTTAATGTACAGTCATTGCTTCTTTTAATGTTTTTTTTCAGGCTGCAGAAGAGACAAAGATGGCTACTATTGGATTACTGGGCGGATAGATGATATGCTAAATGTTTCCGGTAAGATTGAGTTATTATCAAGGAAAAATGATGTCTGCTTTCACACTGATCTGTTTTTATTCTGCCTTTTGCGTTAAAAAAAAAAAAAAAAAAAAAGCAGAAGAAAAATGTGTGACCATGGAACTCTTTACACTGGTCCGTTGCAGGTCTGTTGCGTTTTTTTTTTTTTTTTTTAACTCAGCTGCTTGGTGCGGTAAAAAACTCACCAAAAATGCACCTCCGCATAGAAATCAATGGAAAACGCAGCAAAAACACACAATAAATGCACCACGTTGCATTTCTGGTGCAGTTTTTGAGTCACGTGCTGTAAAACAAAAAAAAAAAAGCACCTCAAACACGTTTTTGCTGTGGATCAGCGTGAAAGTAGCCTAAGAGGGTTTTTGTTTTAGCGTACATTTTGAATTGTTATTGTAACTTCTTTCTGAATTAATAATTTGAATATAATTCTTTTTCATGTATTTTAAAAGCAGTTTGTTTCAAATGTTAATTATTGTACTTCCTATGTAGAAATGTAGGTTTTACCTCTAGTGGCTTGCTGTAAATCCGTTAGAGGTAACAAGGCAAATCACAGACACTGCTATTTTCAAGGATTGCAGTAAAGGAATATATAGGTTTATTTATTTATTTTATTTATTTCAGGTACTTACATAGCTCCATCAATTTGTGCAGCGCGTAAATTGTACGTTCACATCAGTCCCTAACCCTCAAGGGGTGTACAATCTAAGGTCCCTAACACTCAAGGGGTGTACAATCTAAGGTCCCTAACTCACATTCATACATACACATACTAGGGCCAGTTTAGACAGGAGCCAATTCACCTACCAGCATGTCTTTGGGGTGTGGGAGGAAACTGGAGTACCCGGAGGAAACCCACGCAGGCACAGGGAGAGCATGCAAACTCCAAACAGGTGGTGCCGTGGTTGGGATTCAAACCAAGGACCCCAGTACTGCCAGGCAGAAGTGCTAACCATTTAGCCACTGTGCTGCCCATTTTTTCTTCAACTTAAATACGGACATGTGCGGTTCAGTGCGGTGCGTTCCGGTGCATTTTTTAATGCGTTTTACCACGTTCAGTGTAGAAAAAAAATTAAGCCTGTTCTACTTTTTTTTTTGTCTGGAACTCCCTGGAACTGACTGCACTGGTGTGAACGAGCCATTGGAAACCATGTAACCTACTATCAATGTGTTTTTTTGATGCAGAAAAAAATGCACTGGACTGCATGTGGTGTGAACTGGCACTAGGTCTCGTTCACACTGGACTGCGGTGCAGATTATTTTTTTCCTCTTTTTATTTAGTTCAGGTACTTATATGATTTATTATACAGGATTTATATGGTGCCAACAGTTTGCTCAGCACTTTACAATATAACGGGAGACAATACAGCAACAATACAGTTCAATACAAGAGGGATAGGAGGGCCCTGATCCTGGCAGCTTACAATCTAGGATTATATAGTGTCGTCAATTTACGCAGTGCTTTACATATATATTGTACACTCACATCGGTCCCTAACCCTCAAGGTGTGTACAGTCTATGGTCCCTAACTCACATTCATACATACACATACTAGGGACAATTTAGACAGGAGCGAATGAACTTACCAGCATATCTTTGGAGTGTGGGAGGAAACCAGGGTACCCGGAGGAAACCCACGCAGGCACAGGGAGAACATGCAAACCTCAGGCAGGTGGTGCCGTGGTTGGGATTCAAACCAACGTCCCTAGTACTACCAGGTGGAAGTGCTAACCATTTCGCCACTGCGCTGCCCATTAGGATGAATAATTAGTTTCTTCTTCCATTTCTTGCTCTCCAGGTCACTTGCTGAGCACGGCGGAGGTGGAATCCGCTCTTGTTGAACACTCATCTGTAGCCGAGGCTGCCGCCGTGAGTCATCCACATCCGGTGAAAGGGGAATGCCTCTACTGCTTTGTCACTCTGCGGGATGGACACGAGTTCACCGGCACGCTGACGGATCAGTTGAAGAAACTAGGTAATGCTCTTTCTGGACTGACTTTGATGGGAGTGGAGTCTCTTGCTCTTTGTTGCTCTTTGTTGGTATGTTGTTGATACAAAGACTTGGTCACTTCTCAGTCTTCTACTGGCTTTAAAGAGGCAATCCATCAAAAACCGATATTGTGGTTATGATGCATAAAAGTAGTTGGGTGTCATCTGCTGGCACATTGGCCTCTGGCGGTAAAATTACTACTTCTGGGTTCCCAGCTCTGCCCGCCTGCTGAGGCCTTTACAAAGAAGTCTCACTTTTGCTGCTGGATTTTTTTTAATTCATTTTACCTTTTTGGGGAATGCAGCAGAGGGAGGGGCAGAGTCGGTTCCAGATCTCTGAGATCCCTACGAACAAAAAGTGGCCAAAAAAAAAGAAACCGCGAGAGTGCGAACTTCTATTGGCTGCTCAGGCTCTCACTTTAGATTAAATGTGAGGGGTGTGGATCAGGGGCGTATTTACCACAAGGCATTTGCCTAGGGCGGCATTTTTTTAGGGGGGCACCACTGCCCTCCTGGAAGAAGGGACATATGTGGCATGGGGACCAGGTGGGATCTGAGATGGGCTGCTTGATGGTGTATGCAGAGCCCAACTGTCATTCCTGGGGATGTCTAGAGCTGTGAAGGTGAGGTTCTTTTGCTCTGTCGCCGTGGGGGGGTGGGTGCTCGTGGAAGGCTCTCTTGGGTGGGGGGTGGCAGGGGTGTTGTTGATCACGGTCAGGCTCTCTCCACAGGGTGGCGGGGGGGTCTGGTCTTGGTCAGTGTGAGGCTCTCTGCCAGGGAGGGGTGTCCGATTTTCGTGTTGCCTAGAGCAGCACAAAACCTAAATACATATGGGTGTATAAGCTCCCTGTGCGTGCCAGTTTGGGCCGTCCATGTCCTGAATTTAAAAGTCTGAGAGTTCAAAAGCAGATGGAGAAAAGAAGTTACACACTGCAGAGCTCAGTGAGGAGAGCTCTGAGAGCTATTGGATTAAAGAGACACACCCCCCTCAACACAGCTCACAGGAAACAGAGCTGAGGCTGTCAATCTGCTGGAGGTCCTTCAGTCACCATTTTCCTCTTGGTGTCAGGAAAACATTTCAGAAGTGATTCATGCTGACAGCAGAGGAACAAAGCAGCAGACAGAAATGACACTTAGTGCTCTTCATTGAGACAAGTACTCACTATAGAGGGATATGCTTTGTTCATATTTCATGTCTGAGGTTTACAACCACTTAAGCATTTATAAAGGAACTTGCAGGAGCTTGTCTTTTTTTTAAAGTACTGTATTTGTTGCTTTTGTCTCACCTGATAAGTTCCCTTCCTTCCCAACTTCAAAATGGGATAGATCAAAGACCCCCAAAAAGCCAGGCAAAGGAGAGGTTTGTCCGTATAATATCCCAAAACTGATATTGTGCTTATAAAGTGCTGTCTATCCAAATGTCACTTTTACGTTTTCTGGTGTATTTCTGTCTTAGTGAGAGAAAAGATTGGACCAATCGCCACTCCAGATTATATACAGAATGCACCTGGATTGCCCAAGACACGCTCAGGTGAGAAAAAATAGGTACATTACATACATATATATATATATATATGCACACACACAGTTGTTTTCAAAATATTAGCAGTCAGACATCACTAACCTGATCAATCGCTGTTTTTGGTGGAAATGATATTTCTACATGGAAAATAATTTCCTAGCAGGCGTGTAGTAGAGTAATAGAAATCCAACAGACCCAACAGTCATGACATGCATGCTGCTGATTCTGTGTCATTGAATCACTCATTGAAAGGGGCATGTTCAAAATAATAGCAGTGTGGAGTTCTATTAGTGAGGTCATTCATTCTTTGAAAAACAGGTGGCAATTATTGCCCTTATTTAGGGAAGGAAGGCAGCAAATGTTGTACATGCTGGTTACAGTGCATTTCTCTCTGAAATTCAGAGGAAAATGGGGCTGTTCCAGACATTGTTCAGAAGAACAGCGTACCTTGATTAAAAAGTTGATTGGAGAGGGGAAAACATATAAAGAAGTGCAGAAAATGATCGGCTGCTCAGCTAAAATGATCCCAAATGCTTTAAAATGGCAACCAAAACCTGAAAGATGTGGAAGAAAGCGAAAAACTACCATTGGAATGGATAGAAGAATATCCAAAATGGGGCGGACTCAGCCAACAATCAGCTCCAGGAAGATGAAAGAAGGTGTGACGTTCCCTGTGAGGACTGTTACAATTAGAAGACGCCTATGTGAAGCCAAGCTATCTGCAAGAAGTCCCCGCAAAGTCCCACTGTTGGAAAAAAGACGTGTGCTGAAGAGGTTACAATCTGCCAAAGAGCACATTGACTGGCCTGAAGAGAAATGGCGCAACATTTTGTGGACTGATGGAAGTAAGATTGTTCTTTTTGGGTCTAGTGGGCAGAGACAGTTTGTCAGACGACCCCCAAACACTGAATTCAAGCCACAGTACACTGTGAAGACCGTGAAGCATGGTGGTGCAAGCATCATGATATGGGGATGTTTCTCATACTACGGTGTTGGGCCTATTTATCGCATACCAGGGATCATGGAATACATCAGAATACTTGAAGAGGTCATGCTGCCCTATGCTGAAGAGGAAATGCCCTTGAAATGGGTGTTCCAACAAGACAACGACCCCAAACACACCAGTAAACATGCAACATCTTGGTTCCAGACCAACAAGATGGACGTTATGGAGTGGCCAGCCCAATCCCCGGATCTTAATCCAATAGAAAACTTGTGGGGTGACATCAAAAATGCCGTTTCTGAGGCAAAACCAAGAAATAGAGAAGAACTGTGGAATGCGGTCCAATCATCCTGGGCTGGAATACCTGATCACAGGGGCCAGAAGTTGGGTGACTCCATGCAACACAGATGTACAGCAGTTCTCAGAAACAGTGCGACTACAACCAAATATTCATGAAGTCATTCAAAGGAAAGCAAAATCTTCAAACATTTCTCAGTTTATATAGTGAATGTTTGAGTTTGTAAAGAAGAATACAAACACTGCGATTTTTTTTTTTTTTTTTTTTTTTTTTTTTAACCGTCTAATATTCACTTTTCTTCCATTTTCTTTAGAGGAACAACACAAATTTGATGTATTTTTCTTCATGTTTTGATTTGGAATAGAATGTGTCATGTTCCCAATGCATTTGTGTGGATGGAAATAAAAGCTATTAGCAGTGTGTTGAAAAAAAAAGTGACTAAAGCTCAAAATCCTTCTATTATTTTGAACACAAGGGATCACAGTTTTTTTTCCCATTCACCTACTGCAATACATTTGCTCACTTTGGACTTGTAAAGGTGAAACAAACACTTCCTTTACTAACTGAAATGCAGTAGTAGTCTAGACATACTTTTTTTTGACACATACTACTGCAACTTTAGAAGATTGTGAAATTTACTGTAACAAGAGTAAAATCCAATCATTTCATGTTGACAGCAAACTGTCATGGTAAAGTGGTCTTAGATATGAAACAATCTCATATGTTTTTTCAGGGAGTTAGATATTGGACAGGTTAGAACAGCCTTTCTCAACCAGGATGCCCAGGCACCCTGGGGTGCCTTGAGGTTTCTTCAGGGGTGCCTTGGCAAAATGTCTAAAAATTGCCCAAAACTTGTATACAAGCCAGCGGGTGGAACAAGCCCGCCTTTTAGTTACACAAAGCCACAGGTTTTCATTGTGCACCATTACGACCTTCTAGCCGCCGGCGTCCTGACAACCAATGACATCATCCATTGGATAAGGAGGATATCAGCTGTCTGCACAGCATCCTACATTTTAATTACGGTTATTATATTTAAAAACAGGGTTTTTTTTGCATGTCACTTTTTGTATGCGCAGTCTATATATGATAGTTTTTGTGTTTTTGTGTGTATTCAGTTCACAATTTAGGACTGCTGTAACATAGGGTATTAGTAGACACAGTATATTCCATAAGCACAGCAGTATCCTTTTCTATTTTTTATATTTATTTAAAACATTACAGCAGAGCACAAAAAAAAAAAAAACAACCTATGAAGCACCAGCTGACATGGTTTCTTCATATTGACTTTATCAAGGGAAGTCCTTGATGAAGTCATTTGAGACAAAACGTCAAGAATGAGACCAGATTCAATTCAGGTGGTATGGAATACAGAGCTGCATTAAATTTGTGCCTCTTAAATCTCCCTGAAGTTCTGATTTCACTCTAAAGGGGAAGCTCCACTTTAAGGCATGGGGGGGGGGGGGGGGGGGGGGGGGGGGGGGGGGGGGGGTACGGCTACCTAATTTTGACAGGTACCGTCTCCCACTTCCCTCCCTCCCGCTTGGAAGTTCTCTCTCCCCTCCCCTTCCCTTCCAGCATTCTTCTGGGACAAGTCGCAGGTCCCAAAATACTGCAGGACCATTTACAAAGCACAGTGTGGTGGTGCCCCCACTTAAGTGGATATTAAAGGTTTTTACCGACTCTGTGCAGTGGTTTTGCACAGAGCAGCCCCAATCCTCCTCTTCTCTGGTCTCTGCCTGAGCCCCTGTCTCCTCCCCCTTGACCAGTGCCCCTAATAGCAAGCGGCTTGCTATGGGGGCACAGGAGTGTGCTCGCTCCTGAGCCCCACTCTTTGCATCTATAAGACACCCCCCACTCTCTCCTCAATGGCTGTGATTGACAGGAGTAGTAGCCAATGGATCTTGTTGCTGTGTTGCAGCCAATGAGGCAAAGGAAACCCCGGGACAGCCGAGACTCCCGTGCACATCGCTGGATTGAGAGGGGACTCTGGTATTACGGGGGGGAACAAGACACAGAAGGTATTTAACCTTCATGCATAGAATACATGAAGATGAAAAACCTTTACGACCACGTGAAGACGTCAGCACTAGGACCCTATAGACTAGTAAAGAACTAGCCTGGGTGAGGATGGCGCTGGATCCATGGACAGATAAGTATCCTGGAAGTCAGCAGCTACAGAATTTGTAGCTGTTGACTTTTAATTTTTTAGTTAGAGTTGAGAACTGCTTTTAATTTCCTTTTATGTTTTCTGTATCCAGGTAAAATAATGCGGCGAGTATTACGGAAAATTGCCAAAGACGACCATGACCTGGGCGACGTCTCTACACTCGCTGACACCACGGTCCTAAAGCAGCTCTTCAACAATCGATGTAAGACCGTTCTCTAGGACAGAACGGCAGCGTTCACCTAGACAGGAATGTCCTGTTACCTGTGAATCCAAGAGACGAGTTAACACACTTCGGATACTGCAGCCATATAATTCTCTGTATATTTTGTGACCGTTACGTCTGTGGAGTATTGTGACTATTGAGCAACTGTTGCATATCTCATGTAAGTCAAACTGTGGTGTCAGTTTCAGGAGCGGATTTAGGAATCTGATCGATGTCTTGAGCTGTCAGGTCTTTATTTCTGTTTGTGACCCCAGTGGGGATATTTTACTGAACTTCCTGTTCCTGTTGGTGCGGTTAACATCAGGACAGGAACAGAATAAAAACATGGTCAGTCATTCTAATACTTCACTACTAGCAATGTGTTTGTTGGTGTCTGGGTCCCCTCTGGAGAGATTTCTCGTCATGTTCCGTCCTCACAGATTTTGAGGGGAAAAACTCACCAAAAGGGTATACAGACAGCAATGAATACCTGACAGAGGCACTATCCCTTGTATATCTGGTGCAGACTATATACCTTTTAATGTGTGTGGCTCAAGTTTTAGCACTACCTGGCCTTCTGTGTGCAGTTTCCTGATCAGTTGTGTTTTAGGCTTGACCACCATACCAGGAGCATACAGGGGTTGGACAATTTTATGGAAACACCTGGTAAAAGAATGAAATCATTATCCAATATGGTGTTGAACCACCTTTGACATCAAAAGATGGCCTGAATTCTCCTGGGAATAATGGATGGTGGATAATTGTTACCCAATATGGCGTTGAACCACTTTTTGACATCAAAGGCGGCTGAATTCTCCTGGGAATAATAGATGGTGGATAATTTTTACCCACTATGGCGTTGAACCACTTTTGACATCAAAGACGGCTTGAATTCTCCTGGGAATAATGGATGGTGGATAATGGAAACTGATTCCACTCTTCATGCAAAACATTGTTCCAGTTTACGCAGAGATGCCAGACTTGGAATACGAACCCGAACCCTGTCCTCCGAATTGATCATAGTGGTTCTATGATACTGAGGTCCAGTGACACTGGCACCCAAGGAAGATGCAAGACTTTGTCTGTATGTTCATCAAAAGCATGATTTGACAACACCAACTGTGTGCAACATTTACCAAGTTGATAATTCTGCAAATCAGTCTTTGGGAAACATTGTCTACACCATGGGGTGCAAATGGTCAACCAAAATTTGTACATAGTCACTGGCGGTGACTCTACCTGTCAAGGTGTTGATGGGGCCTACAGAATACCAAATATGGCTGCCCAAACCATGATTGCGCCGCCGCCATACTTTCCCGTTGGCACATGACAGTCCTGGTGGTAAGTTTGAGACGGTGTTCACCACACCTAGACACGCCCGGAGGTTGGGAACAGTGTGAAGCTCAATTCTTTGGACAATATTAGTCTTCCATTGATCGTTCACGATTTATGGGTGTTGCACTACTCTCTCCTCTTCTGAGCATTAATATTGGTCACTAGTGGTTTGGCAATCGCAGCTCGCCTGTGAATGTTTTGCTTGTGGAGTTCCCTCCGCACAGTCTTTGTGCACACGAGCTTTGGAAGACTGAGATTGAGCTCTGCACTCACTTTTGCAGCAGTTGTGTTCTTATTCTGGGTCACAATCCTGCACACTGTCCTTTCGTCTCTTTCGGTCAGGTGACCATGTCCACCGCGCTTATGCTTATCAGATGACGTTTCCCAGAAACTTGTACCCTGCCATAACCTTCGATACTGGACCTCGCGACACGGCAAATAAATTGGCAACTTCAGTCACCAGCTAAGCGGCACCAACAATTCACCCTCTGATGCTTAGTAAGCTCTGACATGACTCCGTATTGCTATCAGGGAATGAAGAAAGGGACACTTCCCACCTGTTAACTAGGTGTCTCATCACACAGTGGAAGCAAAAGAATGTCATAACACTCCCGCTTTCACCGCCCAACATGTCATCCCTTTCACACCTGCAAATCGAGTAGTGTTTCCATATTTTTGTCCAACCCCTGTACATTGTAATTATAATTTTGAAACTGTTCCATTTACGGTAAGCTCCATACATTGGCTGTATTTGCAGCAAATTGAAAAAAAGAATCGATCGAGGGTCTGAGTAAGCTTTGTCTAAAGGACTGTTCTTTGGCCAGTAAGAAGCAATTTATGTTTTCCTGTTGAGGTGCAGCAAGAGTTAATCTAAGCCAAAATGGGGGGCTAATTGGTTGACACTCTTGCTTTGCAGCCCCGGGGGTCCAAGGGTTCAGGTTTTATCGGGGGGGGGGGGGGGGGGGGGGCACTAATTGCATACAGTTTATACGTTCTCTTCTTGTTTAAATGGGTTTCCTCCTGGTTCTTCTGCTCAGACTGGAAGGTTGGCTGCTGTCTCCCCAAACTTGTTTTGAAGTTTTTGGGTTTTTTTTTAAATCTGTATTAACTTGAAGACCTATAGCTGACCACAGTTACACTTTAAAGGAAAACGTAATTTTACCCCCTTCCTGCCCAGGCCAATTTTCAGCTTTCAGCACTGTCACACTTTGAATGACAATTGCGCGGTCATGCAACACTGTACCCATATGAATTTTTTTGAGACAGATAAAGCTTTATTTTGGTGGTATTTATTCACCACTGGGATTTTTATTTTTGCTATATAAATGAAAAAGTCCAAACATTTTGGGGAAAAAAAAAATTTTTCTTATAAAATTTTGCAAATAAATAATCTTTCTTTAGAAATCTTGGCCAAAATGTATTCAGCTTTCTTTTTAGTAAAAAAAAAACAAAACCAAATTACTTAAAAACAAAAAAACAGACAATTATAACCAAAAATTATAATTTTGCAAAAAAAAATTGACTTTTTTTATATTAACATATGGTCACCCTAGCAGTACAGTGTCACCATAGTGACACTGTACTACTTGGGGGGAGGTGATGAAGATTTTTTTTTCTTTCCTTTTACACTGATTGCTTTTACACCCATAAAGGCTGTAAAAGCAATAATTTCTCCTCTCTGGCTGCATTCTTGCAGCCATTGAGAAATACTGTAAGAACTGTGATTGGTCACAGCTTGTCACATGGGTACAAGGCTGTTGTGAATAGCATTGCACCATGTGACCTCTGTGATCATTCACAGGTTTCACACGTAGTAAGCAATGATGTCAGCAAGTGACATCTTGCTTACTACTCTGCATGTGATCACTGATTGGCCAATTAGTGATCACATGATCGGGACCTCACAGAGAGGTGTCCCGTACAGCGATCGGTGTTCCGGATTGCGGTGCTGCGCGGTGGACATTTATAAATGGCCACCTGCTCCTGCAATGCTTCCATCTGGCCGTTTATATACATGAGCCGGACGGGAAGTGGTTAAGTTCAGTAAATCTGCCCACCCACCCTGAGAGCAGCCCAGCTGGAATAATACTTCCCAATCCAGCAAGATTGACCTGGTCTTGGCTGGCTTCTCTTCATACCCCTGGACCCCATTCAGTCCTATGGGTAGACTGTACACTGAGGGACCAGTGTGGCTGCCACGAGTACAACATTACCCATAATAATAAATGGGACCGCAGCACACATGCGCAGTATGAAGACAAGAAAGCCTGGACATTGTTGGAGGAATTAGAGGCGACGTTGTCCTTTACGTTGGCTGCTATAGGAATTCAAGTGTTTACATATTTAATACATTAACTTTAAAGCAAGCCCTGACTGACCCATGTAGGCACTGCGGAGTAATTCAACTTCAGAGTGTACAGTAAAAGTACTTCAAGCTGTTGTTTCAGCAGTAACTCAGCTTCCCCTCCCAGCAGTGACATGGACGCTTTCTGTGAGCTGAACTTCCCTTTTTGCCTTCTTTACAGTTATAACCAAGTCTGGCGTGCTGCATGGAACCCCGAGTGTATTGTCAGGGAACACCTGAAGTGAGGGGAGATCTCCTACCAAGCCACAATTAATACCTAACTGGGGCTCTAACACTTTACCGCTCTATCCAAAAATAAATAATTGGATGGAGTTTCACTTTAAAGGGTCATTTTTAACATTTTAGTTGGATTAGGTGCAGGGTTTCACTTTTTTTTTTCTGGTATTTTAACATGGCGACAGGGGGAGGTATACCAGGCGGGGGGAGCTATACCTAGCCGGCCACTCCATAAGACGCACAGACATTTTCATTTCATTTCATTTACATTTTCCCCATTTTTTTTTTGTCGACGGGGGGGGGGTGGTGTGGTGTTAAGTGCGTCTTATGGAGCGCAAAATACGGTACTTTCTAAGTCACTGATCTGGAACAAGTATTCAAGGCCAGACTAACCTGATCCCTGGATTTGTTCCAGGTCAGTGGATTGAAGTGACACTATAATTTTGCCCATTCATAGGCGTGTTTTCTAAGACCCCCCACGCCGCCCCCCCTCTTCTCTCAGAGCATTTCTTTGCTTTACCGGAGTGGGGTTTTGGGTTCTGGAGGAGCATGCCAGTCACCTTATCTGATTGGTAAGTAAAGTCATCCACCCTGGTTGGCTCCCAACACCATCTGGCACCAGAACTTACCCAGGGTGGACTTCAGCCTCAGGTCAGTTAGCATGATTTACTGAAGAGGTGGGGCTAGCAGTAGCTACTGTCACTTTGCATGGAAATGACAAAGTGACAGTTTCTCTTGAATGCCGGAGTGAGCAAGGCTACAACCATCAGAAGTACATCAGCAATGGCATCCTCCATCGTTCTGTCAGTACAAGTTCCTTTAAGCACCCAGGTACCACCAAAACAGCAGAAAATCTTCCACCAGCAGAGCTGAAATTTTGATCTTTAGGTATTTCATTCTGTGGAATAAGCAGAGCCATGACTGCCAATGAAATTCCTGGAAAATATAGGAAACCAATGGGATGGCGCCTTCTACCAGTCTTCACCAAAACCAGAATTCCCAGCTGGGTGTTGCCTGGTCCTTTCACATGGAGGATGTAGACTGGTTTTATTTGATTTTTAATATTCTCTTGTATCCGTGAATGTATGTTGTGACAAGTGA